ACCCTGTGGACCACTGTATTTGGCTTACACTTACACATCACATTTCATCACTAAAGGAAGTCAGGACAGGAACACAAGCAAGGCAGGAGCTGATGCAGAGGTCATGGATGAGTGCTGTTTACTGGCTTGCTCCCCATGGCTTGCGTCAGCCTGCTTTCTTATAGAACCCAAGATACCAGCCCAGGGAATAGCACCACCCACAATAGGCCCCACATCAAACTATTTAAGAAAATGCTTTATAGGCCTGCCTACAACCCAATCTTATGGAGGAATTTTCTTAACTGAGGTTCCCTCCTCTCAGATGACTTTAGCTTGTATCAAGCTGACATAAAACTATCCAGCACACCCAGGTTGGCCTGGGTTCACAGTGATCCCCCTGCCTCAGCCTTCTGAGTTCTGGATTTATAGGTTTGAGTCACCACACTGGACTCTGGTGGTTAAAGTTGATTGTCAACTTGTTGGAGTAAAAAGTACCTAGGAGATTATGCTGAACATGGTGACAAATGCCTTTGATTCCAGCACACAGGAGGCAGAGGCAGGCAAATCTCTGAGTTTGAGGCCAGCCTGGTCTACACAGTGAGTTCCAGGACAGCCAGAGCTATATATGAGACCTTGTCTCAAAAAAAAAAAGCAGCAACAACAAAAAGCCTCTAGGACATTGATAAACCATACCACGTGGGAATGTGTGTGGTACTGTCCCATAGACAGGACTCACCTAGAATAAATAAACAAAAAAGGAGCCCATTAGCACAGACATTCCAGTTTTCCTCATTGGGTTGGCGTCTGGGCCAGCAAAGTGATGAGAGCTGCTTAAGGAGGAGCGCAGATCAGTGGTCACCAGAAAACAACGAAAAGGAGTAGGATGCAGGAAATATGGAGCTCTAGGGGATCCTTTAACCACTCTTTTCTTTCCTTCTTTATATTGTTCAGGTGCTGGGGACTGAACCTAGAGCCTTAGCCATGCTAAATACTCACCACTGCACCCCTCAGTGCCTACCTGAGATCATTCTGTATTCTTCCTAACATCTTTTTTTTTATCCCAATGAATTTATTGTGCCTAATACAGAAGCATGGCTGACCCTCAGGTAGCTGCATCATGGAAAAGGCCTACCACCACATGGGTGGCACTCGTAATATCTATATCACTAAATTTCTCTTTGTATCTTGTTTTCAGTAGAAATTATATGGCACATACATGACATAAAAATGCATGGCCATGTGTATGCACAGGCAGGGTATACATGGGAAATCCATACATTGTGCTCAATTTTGCTGATAACCTATAATTGTTTTTATTCTAGTTTGATTTTCTATTACTACAATAAACATTATGACCAAAAGCAACTTAGGTAATGAAAGGGCTTATTTCATCTTATAATTCCCAGATCATAATCCATCACTGAGGAGAAGTCAGGGCAGGAACTTAAAGCAGAAACTGAAACAGAAGACATGAAGGAATGATATTTGCCAGTGTGTTTCCAGGCTCACATTCAGCTACCTTTTTTGTACAGCCCAACCAGGTATACCTGCCCAGGCATGGCACTGCCCACAATGGGCTCAGTACTCCTGCATCAATCAGCAATCAAGAAAATACTCCCACAAACATTCCCACATATGAATCCCACCTAGACAATTATAGATAAATCTAAAAATCCGGCTGGGCATGTTGTCATGGATTTAATTCCAAGACATGGTATGTAGAAGCAGGAGAATCAGCAGTTCAAGAACACCCTGGAGGCAGAGTGGTGGTGGTGCACATGCCTTTAATCCCATCTCTCGGGAGGCAGAGGCAGGTGAATCTCTCTGTTTGAGAGATTCAAGCCTGGTCTACAGAGCAAGTTCCAGGTCAGCCAGGGCTACAAACATAAACCCTGTCTCAAAAATCAAACAAATAAACAAAGAAAAAGAACAGCCTTGGAGCTGATCTGGTGGAACTCACCTTTAGTCCCAGCACTCAAGAGGCAGAGGCAGGTGGATCTACATGATTCAAAGCCAGCCTAGTCTACAAAGCAAGTTCCGGGCCAGCCAGGACTACACAGTAAGATCCTATCTTTTTAAAAAAAAAACCTCTTTATGTTTCTATTGCCATACACTCACACACACACACACACACACACACACACACACACACACACACATATATATATATATTTATACATAAAAGTACATATATGAAAATGTAAACACCTATACACACAGGAATAGATACTGGTAATGGCCGCACAACACTGTGAATATAGTTTATACCATGTAATTGTACATTTTAAATGGTAAAGGGCTGGGGTTTTATTTCAGCAGTAAGGCATCTGCATGTCAAAGCCATAAATTCAATCCCCAGCACACATGCACGCACGCACGCGCACGCGCAGAGAGAGAGAGAGAGAGAGAGAGAGAGAGAGAGAGAGAGAGAGAGAGAGAGAGAGAGAGCGAGCCCAGGAGAAAAAAAAAGAGACTGAAAGTTTGCCCCATGAGACATAAAAAGACCTGTAACTCCACCTGTAACCCCAGGATTAAGTATGGGCAGGAGGTCCAAGATCATCCTTGGAAACATAGTGAGTTAAGAGCCAGATAAGACCTTGTCTCAAAAAAATATGCAATAGAGCTGAGTGTGTTAGCATATGCCTTTTATTCCAGCACTCGGAGGCCTGCATGGTCTATATATAGAGTTCCAGGGTAGTCATGGCTACATAGTAAGACCTGTGGAAACAAAATAAAACATGTTGAGACAGAAGAAAAGAAAGACCTGGACCTGACTTTCAGGCTTCTGATGCCCATCATTCTTGTGGTGACCCTGGAGAGTAGGGAGCTGACCTAGGCCTTCAAGATTTATTAAATCAAACTTCCTCTGCTTTTTCTCTTTTTTCTCTACTCAATGTTTTCTTTTAAAAATTTGTAAGTGTGTGTGTGTGTGTGTGTGTGTGTGTGTGTGTGTGTGTGTGTGTGTGTAAGTCAGAGAGGTGTCAGATCCCCTGAAGCTGGAGTTACAGGCAGTTGTGAGCTGCCTGATGTGAGTGCTGGGAATCAAACTCCAGTATTCTGTAAGAACAGTATGTGCTCTTAACCACTGATCCATCTCTTCAGCCCCCTACAATTTTTGAAATTTTATTTTATGTATATGAGTGTTTTGCCTACATGTATATATGTGCACCACATGCATGCCTAATGCCTGAGGAGGTCAGATTATTGGAATTGAAGTTACAGATGGTTGTGAACCACCATATGGGTGCTGTAAAAATGAACCCGAGTCCTCTGAAAAAAAAAACAACAACAAAATGGTCTTAATCACAGACACATTGCTCCATCCCCTCTTAATTTTTTTTTTTGGCGAGGAGTGGGGGTGGGGTGGGGTGGTGGGGATTCAAGACAGGGTTTCTCTGTATAGCCCTGGCTGTCCTGGAACTAGCTCTATAAACCAGGCTGGCCTCGAACTCACAGAGGTCCAACTGCCTCTGCCTCTCGAGTTCTGGGATTAAAGACATGTGCCACCACTGCTCAACAATTTCTTTTTTGAAGATAGGTTTTCATGCAGTTCAGGCTGATCACAAACTCACTTTTAGCTGATACTGGCCTTGAATTCCTGATCCTCCTGCCTCTGCCTCACAAATGCTGGGATTACAGGCATGAGCTAGCACACCTAGCTCCATTCCCAACTTTTTTTTTTTTTTTGAGACAAGGTCTAATGAAGCTCAGGCTGACCTCGAACTTGAAAAATGACTGAGAATGCCCTAAACTCTTGATCCTCCTGCCTCCACCTCCCAAGTGTTGAGATTGCAGGTGTACCCAAACTGAAAATGCTATGTTCTAACCAAAACAGTGTTTCTATAAACTTTTTCTATATTTTGGAGCATTACCAAAGTGGGGTCCAAAGAGTTCTTGTAAGTGGGATCATTGGGTTGTTTTACTTCTGTCCAGCTACTGCCTGAGAAGACAGATGAATCCAGCTGAAAGGAACGTCTCAGCTGCCCTGGCACTGTAGGTAGTCGAGACAGAAAGCTCAAGAATGAGGATCGAGGGTAATGTTCCAGACATCCCCTCACTGAGTGATACATAAAACAGAACACTCTGGGAAAAACAACAGAGCAGAAAGAAAGCAACCAAAGGCTCACCCTCTGGGACTCATGCTTCACTTAACCTCCACATGTGCTTCTGGACTTTCCATGTTCTTAAAGAATACATGTCAACCTTACGTCATTATCTATGTCCCCAGATCCATCGTCTTACCAGCCATGAGAGCTCGGATTTCAAGTAACAAGCAGAGCTTCAGCTCACCAAACTTAGAAATAGATCTCCCACCAAAGAGGGTGTGTGGAGGCAGCGGGGGAGCTGGCTGTGGTGATTTACGCCTGTAATTCCAGCATGAACTATGGAGTGTGATCCTATCTCAAAAAAAAATGTCTAGAAGGAGATTCATCTGGCAGCAATGGCCCAGGGTCCTTCTAGGAAGCTAGTGTCTCAGCTTGAGCACAAGCCTCAGGGAAACAGCTTCTCTAGGCACCTCCCACCCAGGAGGCGGTTCTGGAGGTGGAGCCTGCATGGGGACCTGAGGCCCCACAGCGCAGTCTATGGGCCTATGGCGGAGCGACGCCTATGGGCTGTGGCCCTCCTTGGGCCGCCATTGTCGTGCCTGCCAAGCTTCACTACGTGACTAGTCTGCTTCACCTCGCCAGACGAGCGAGACCACTGGGAAATTCCCTGATCCGATCTGCGTCTCCCTACATCCAGGCAACGTCCTTGGCCCGCCGGGTCTCTGCCACAAGCCTCGGGGGGACCGACCAGAGCGCCGGGCCTAGCACGGGAGGGACCCAGGTCGGGGAGAACAACTGCTGCGTTCCAGTCCTGGATGCTTCTGTTAGCCAGACTGTGAGCCGCGACGGGTTCCCAAGGCCCTGCTGGCCAGGCACTGCGTCTCCCAGCGCTCATGAGGAACTGAGCCTGGTCTGGTGTCTGGAGGAACAAGTTGTAGCACCGATCGCGCCCAGCACAGACTTGACCCTGCCCCACCACCCAAACCTACTCTCTTGCTTCATTCCTCCCAGAGCCTACGGTCCCTAAACAGTGCACCTGCCGGAGGTCCCAACCCAGCGGGAGAAGTGGACATGAGGTTGGCAGGTGGGTGGCTTCCACAGCGAATGGAAGAGAATCCTGGTGTCTTAGTGGTCGTGTCAGGAGGGGCCCGGGTAGTCACTGGTTTGTTATTTATTAATGGGTAACTGTGCACAAGCACTCATTCTATGAGCAAATTCTTTCACCTCTGAGGACTTCAGCTTCCCAAACTATAAGTTAAGGATTGATATATAGTCAGTTGCACCCAACCCAAATAACAGGTTGGGTGAGGAGAGGTGGAGAGTAAAGGCAAAGAGGCATGACCTTAGAAGAGAACTGACTTGGTTGCCTGTGAGGTTGGATATGATCCAAGTGGCTGCTCTACTGTCAGCTGGACAACTAAGATGAAGATGCCTTGTGGAGATGAAAATGGTTCGTGGAGGGGGCAGATAGGGGTAAGAGTAGAATTTGAGAACTGGTAAGGTAGCAACTTCATGGATAAATCCTAGTAAGGGCAGTAAGGAACTGACTGGGAGGGTGTGGGTTCAAGACAGATCAGGATTGAAGCCAGAAAATAAGGTGTCATTACTGCATGGTATTTCACTTGATAACTGTGGTAGATGAAATCTCCCATAAAGAGAGTATGCAAACAGGAGAAGGCAGCCTGGAAAGGAATAGCTTTTGAGGGGAGAGTAATGGAAGATGACCAAAAAGAGAAAGTCCCAAAGAGTCAGGTCAGGAGACTGTGGTGTCCTAGAAGCTATCAGTGAAGTGTTTGCATCAGGATGGCTAGTGCAGCCCATCAAGATGTCAAGAAAGAGAAGACAGGCAATCAGAAATGTGACAGTCATGGGTGGTCTGGTTTGGAAGGTCATTTGTTTGCTATTGTGGTGGCAAGACTAGATTGGAAGAATTTTGGGAGAGAGTAGCGGGGATGAGATGATAGAAATCACAATGTAGATGACTTTTTTAAAATGTGTATCCTGGGGATGGAACCCAGGGTCTCATGTATGCTGGACAAATGCTCTACCACAGAGCTATATCCCTAGCCAGAGTATAAAGTTTTAAAGAGTTTGGTGGAGAAGTGGTAGGTAAGGAGTTAGAAGATGATATTTTTCTTGCAGGAGCTCTTTTTCGTCTTTATAAATTAGGACCTGTTAATATTATGAAAGTGAGATAGAAAGAAGGAGCCTTAGCACAACATATCTGAGACAGGAGAGAACTTGATGGATCTTGAAGCAAGTAGAAGGACTGGTCTTCAAGAGGAGTATAGATCCTCCATCAAAACAAGAGGAAAGGAGAGGCAGATGGGTGAGCTGTAAATACACTAACAGTTTCAGAGGAAAGATGCTGAGGTTGGTGCTATGGAACCTGTCCAGAGCATGAGTTCTAAAAGGTCCCTCCAAACCTGCTGGGGAGAACCAAACAGAGCAACCTCAATGCTTGAACTCACTTTCTTCCCTTCACCAGGAGGGAGTTCAAGTCTCCTTCTTGGGTCTGGTGGGTAGCAATGGGTACCCCACCTTCCAATCCTGCCATCACTTGTTTCCAAGTAGAAGAGGAGATCTAGTCATGTGAGGCAGTAGGTTGTTGCTGGGTTTGTTCACTGGTGTCTGAGATAGACCTGCCCTGTGTCTGTCCTGCCTGCAGGCCCCCTTCGAATCGTGGCCCTAATCATCACTATGGGTCTCACCTGGATCCTAGTCACCATCCTCCTGGGTGGTCCTGGTGGTGGCCTTCCTCGAATTCAGCAATTCTTCACCAGTGAGTGTGGGGACCCTCTTGCCTCACTGTACAGGTGTTCAATATGGGGTGTGATGGTTGGGTTTTCCATCCCCTTCTTGACAAGCTTATTTTTGCTGCCCTCAGCCTATCTTCTAACACAAATGCAGACTTGTCCATACCAACTGACCTAGACAGCAACACACCCAACTTGCAATCCAATATTGAGTGGAAGTTGATGAAGTGAGAGTATGGAGTGGAAAGGCCTCCACTAAACATTGATCATCTTGGACTTTCTGCTGGGCTCTGAGATACACAGGGACTCTATTTGTTGCTGGTGCCAAGTCACCTAAGCACTATTTACAATTCCAATTCATCCTTTTCCTAGAGCAGGCAGTTTTACATCAGGGCATCATTGAGACTTAAGCAGGGAACATGCCAAGTGTAGCCTGACTTGGTCCCAAGTCCCTGATCTTGGCTGCTTTGCTGTAGGCTTCTGGAGGCCTCCATGCTAACAAAACAAACTCTCTGTATCCACAGGCCCAGAGAACTCAGTGACTGCAGGTAAGCTTCCTCTCTCTTCCCTATCCCCTCCTATGCCTGCACTTCATTCTGCTTTTTGTGACACCCCTGCCTGCTGCCAGCCAGCCCACCAGGATTTCTGTTGTCCATCTGGCCCTCTCCCCACTAGCTATCATAGCCTTCTGTGCAGTGAACCTAGTAAATAAGTTACCCACCATCAGAAAGTGAGAGGGCAGGCATAGGAAAAAACATTCCCATTCCAAATAGAAGACATTGGGAAAAGGGGGTAGGGCACTCATGGTCCTAAGCAAATCCTGAACATAGCAGGGCAATTCTTCTAGATTTTAAGGTCTAAAAAGAAATGTGTATGTCCATATACTCTGCTTCTAGGCCCACTGAAGTGACCCCATCTTCTGGAATGGGAGATAGTGTCACCCTCTGGGCTTGGGCCCTCTTTGACCCCTTCATTCTTGGCTCTATATTCAGAATCTCCCTTCCTTCTTTCCTTCCTCCCTCCCTCCCTTTCTTGTTTCTTTCCTTCCTTTCTTCCTTCCATCCTTGTATTCTTCTCATCTCTGTCCTTTTCATAGGCTGACAGTGTTTCTGTTGGTATAAACTTCTAACAAAGTTTGCTGGCCTCTCATGGGATTCATGAGGGCCTAGGTTATAAGACAAGAGAGTCCTCCACAGATTCATCCTGTATAATCCCATCTCAAGTCCAGGCTTCTGAGAGGTGGGAGCACACCCACAATCACACACTTTCTTTCCTTAGCAAATCCTAAGCCAGCCATCCTCTTTGTGTTCTCTCTAAAGGATGCTTTTTAAAAATTTTTATGGTGCTGGAGATTGAACCTAGGACCTCACCCATACCAAACAAATACTCTACACTGAGCTATTTTCCTAGCTCATAAAATATTTCAGATTTTTTTTTAACAGAGTTTCACTTTATACCACACTGGTCCTGAACTTACTATGCAGCTCTCAAACTCTCAGTGATCCTCCTGTGTTACCCTATCAAATGCTGGGATTACAGGTTTGGACTGCTTTCTCATTTTTACAATATAATTAGGCTAACATTTTCTTTCTTCCCTTCTTTCTTTTGCGATAGGGCTTAATGAATCCCAGGCTATCGTTAAACTCACTATGTAGCCAAGAATAACCTTAAATTCCTGATCTTCCTGCCTCCATCTCCCAAGTGCTAGGATTTGTTTTTGATCTTTATGTTCTAGATCCTTCATATTTGATAGTTCTTTCCCCAACTGCTCTGTCTGCTCTCATTTTACCATGAGCAGCCACAAGGAAAAACCAGGCCATACCTTTAACACTGCTTGAGAATCTCCTCTGCTAAATATCTTACAAGCTTTCTTTTCTACAAAACACCAGAACAGTTGACACTTTATAACAAGGATGGACTTTCCTCCCATACCCAATAATGGCTTCTTCAACTTCTTTCTAAGGTCTCACCAAAAGAGCTATAATATTCATATTCCTATCAACGCTTTGTTTAGGATTATGTAAATGAAAGATTCAACAGAAGAATCTTACTCTATTGTGCTCTTCTCTCTAAGCCTGAACCAGAACTGTGTTTACTATCCATATTGCTAAATTTGATTTAATACAGAGACTTACTAAGTAGCCCAGGATAGCCTTGAAATCATGATTCTCCTACCTCAGCCTTCCAAATGCTGGGATTACAGATGTGCAATAGCATACCTGGCTTCACTCTGTATTCCTGCCAACAGGTTGTTTTCTTTCTTTTTTTTTTCTTTCTTTAAGCAGTATAGGCTTTTTCTACTATATACCTCAAAACTTTGCATCCTTTGCCCACTCTACCCAGTTCCAAATCCATTTCCACATTCTTAGTTATTTGTTTACATAAACTCCCAATTCCTGGCACCAAAACCTATATTAGCTTCCTGAAGTTACCCTAAGAAAAGTAGTGCCTTAAACAACCAAAATTACTTTCTTACAATTCTGGAAGCCAAGAGTATGAATGAAGGTGTCAGCAGGGCTATGCTCCCACTGAAAGCTTCAGGTAAGGGTCTTTCTGGGCCTCTGCAAATCCTAGAAGCCTTCTATGTGCCTCATCTTGTAGCTGCACAACTCTGCCTTTTGCCTGTACTGACTCACAGCATCTCCTTCTGTGTGGTTTTATCTCTTCTCTTCTCTTCTCTTCTCATAAGGACACTAATCGCACTGCATTAAGGGCTCAACATAGTCCAGTATGACCTTGTCAAAACTTATCTGTCTATAAAGACCCTATTTCCCAGCAAGACCACATTCTGAGGAACTGGGAATTCAGACTCCACTATATTTTGTAGGGTCATAATTCAAGCCATTATAGAGATCATTCCCACCCTTACCCTGAAGAAATCCAGAGGCTAGCAGAGCCCCCATGCTCCACCCACCCACCTCAGCTCATCTACTTTGGTCTGACTGTATGCCTCATCCGTGGAGCTCTCACCCTGACTTTCTGGACCTCTGTTTTTTCTAGTTGTATAAGGGTTCCAAGCCAGCTCTCAGTCCCCTTTCCCTTTTCCTACCAGTAGCAAGAAAGCCTTATTCTTGGTGTCCCTACTCCCTTGCCAACACACCACTTGGAAACATCCCCAGCTTTGGTCTGAGCCCCACTCACCTCCTGCCCCAGTTCCATGCTCTGTGGCTGCACCTTCAGCACTGTGGCTGGTCCTGACCTCCACCCTCAGATCTCGGGTGACACCAGGGCCAGGTACATGGGTCACATCTGCTATCATTACTCAGAACCAAAGGCCAGGAAGTACAAGTGCGGCCTGCCCCAGCCATGTCCTGAGGAGCACCTGGCCTTTCGCATAGTCAGCGGGGCTGCCAATGTCATCGGGCCCAAGATCTGCCTCGAGGACAAGATGTGAGCATATGGGCTGGGAAGTGGGAGGGGAACTTGAGGCCAGGTCTGCAAGGGCCAAGAGCTAAGGGCTATCTATGTGAGGAAGAGAAATGTGATATGCCCACAAGAGATCTTCTGCCCCCCCTGCTAGGCTCATGAGCAGCGTCAAGGACAATGTGGGCCGTGGGCTGAACATCGCCCTGGTGAATGGTGAGTTCCCCCATGTTGTGGGGTCAAAGTTCAGACCATAGAAGCAAATATCATGCTGTGGCCTGGCCCCTCCACTTCATTACTCCCTCTGCAGGAGAGGGTGGCTCCTGGGCATTCCCAGGGAGACTTGGGAAAAATTCTATGCCAGCCAAAAGCTCTACAAAGGAAGTCACCCAGTGATCAAAAACATGATAGTAGTAGTGGATACATAGGGCCTCATGCCAGAGGCTCCATGGGCTGCAGCTCTGTGAATGAGAGGATGACAGGGCATGTTTGAAGCTTTTGTAAGGGCTGCCACCTTTCATGTTTGAGCCTGGGTTAGGGGCTCAGGCAGTAAGGCAGCATGTCCCAGACAGTTTACTTAGCAGGTCTTCCTCTTCTTGACACAGGGGTCAGTGGTGAGCTCCTGGAAGCTAGAGCCTTTGACATGTGGGCTGGAGGTGAGTGGCCACCACATCCTGTTATACATTTTCTCCCTGAAGCCCTGCCCTCTGTGCCTTTGTACTCAGGTTTCAATTATAGCTTTGGGTTCACAAAATGTAGGAGACGGGGGAATCTCTGTCTGGATTCTATGTTTTGTGACCAGATGGCCCTAGCTTCTTTACCAGTTTGTCTGTGCTCATACTGGTGGCCGTTGATGTGGAACAGCCCTTGCCCAGTCCCTACATTGTTTTCCTCATTAGAAGAATATTGTTTGGTTGGGAAGGGCTGCTCAGTGGAACCTGAAGCTCCATGTTCTGTGGGCTCATCTCCACCAGATGTCAATGATCTCTTGAAGTTCATCCGACCACTGCATGAAGGTACCCTAGTGTTTGTGGCATCCTATGATGATCCAGCTACCAAGTAAGTGACTGCCAAGCCCAGCTTCAGTGTTATCCTAGTACAGTAACAGTCCCTAGTTCATATTTCTTCCTACTGTGTAACAGGATGAATGAAGAGACCAGGAAGCTTTTTTCTGAACTGGGCAGCAGGAACGCCAAGGAGCTAGCCTTCCGTGACAGCTGGGTGTTTGTGGGAGCCAAGGGTGTGCAAAACAAGAGCCCCTTTGAGCAGGTACAGCAGAGACCCTCGCACTTCTGCCTCCTAGCCCTGGCAACCTTGCCACCCCTTCTCTTTACACCAAAGTTTCCCTGAATTCTGTCCATCAGGGCCCAGAGTCCTGTCCCTAACCTGTGCCCTGATTAGCCCTGACCTCTTGTTATTACCACAGGGAGAGACAGTAATTTTGATCTTCCCTGTCCTGTACATATTTCAACCTAAAGACTTTAAAAGTTGGATTGCACATTGGCCAGACTTATAAATAAGAATTTTTCTTCACAAACATCTTCAGGATGCTCAGTTTAGGTATGTAGCTCATTTGTGATGGGTGTTTATTTAGCATACATGAAGCCCTGAAATATAATACTTAGTATTGCATAAAACTGGGCATGGGGATACACCTGTAATACCAACACTGTGGAGGTAAATGCAAGAGAATCAGAAGTTCAAGATTATCCTTGACCATATAGCAAATTTGAGACCAGCCTAAGCTACATGAGATACTGTCTCAGATTTAAAGAAAAAAAAAAAGATGCTCATTACCATCCTAGCCTTGTCACAACCCAGTTTCCTAATTTATGCTGCATCCTCCTTTCTCACCTTTCCTGGGTTCCCTCTTAGGCTACACCAGGCATATGTTGTGCTAGGGGCTACTAGAGAGAAGAGGGCCCCTGGTATCATCCTTACCTAAGAAGGCTCCCAGCAAAAAGTCTTAGGTAGGCCTCCAAGTCCTGCTCTCAACAAATACAAATTTCTCCATAGCTGTGGTTGATAAAAAACAAAACAAAACCTGAAGCTCATGCCCTCCAAGACCCTTCACCCCAAACTCAGGCAGCAGCTTCCGGCATTTCCCTGAAGCCAAGGCCACATGGACTCCCTCCTGTCCACAGTGCTCACTGTTCTGGGGTACATCAGGCCCATGTCCCATCCCCAGTTCACTCGTGAAAGACTAGACCACCACAGCCATCCCCTTTTTTTCCTGCGTGAAGGGGAGTGCAACAGATTGAAGAGTACCCTGGTGGTTGGCCCCTGAGGGCCAGGTCATAACTTCCTGTTAACCCCTACAGCATGTGAAGAACAGTAAACACACCAACAAGTATGAGGGCTGGCCAGAGGCCCTGGAGATGGAAGGCTGTATCCCTCGAAGGAGCATGGCGGGCTAGCACAGCAGAGCTCTGGGACCAGACTGAAGGAGGCAGCATGGCACCAGTGTAGGGTGGAGGCCTTGCCCCATGCCCAAGCATGAGGCTTCCCTGCCTGAACATATTAGGGCTTGAAAGTAGCCTCAAGTTGATGAGGGCTGCAGGGCTGGCCCATTTCACTTTGTCATGGAGCTTAGGTAGCTGTGTTTTCCTAAAGCTGATCCCACAGTCAGTTCCACCCAGCCCCTTCCTCTGCCCCTCCTGTGTCATCTTATATTTCTTGAGTGCCCCCAGAGGCAAGGATCTTCAGTGCTTGCTCCTTTCACTGGAGCAGCCAGTGGGTAGGTTGGGACATCTTCCAGAACCTCTCCCTCCCAGAGGCACTGCACTGCCATCCAACCATGTTTTTAGTGTGATTCTTTGATTTTTTTTTTTTTTTGGTTTTTCGAGACAGGATTTCTCTGTAGCTATGGAGCCTATCCTGGACTAGCTCTGTAGACCAGGCTGGCCTTGAACTCACAGAGATCCACCTGCCTCTGCCTCCCGAGTGCTGGGATTCAAGGTGTGCGCCACCACTGCCCAGCAGTGTGATCCTCTTTAAGTAAGCCATATCAGAGCTTAATCAGATCACTTCTGCAAAACTGAATGGAAGACTGGCCTTTGGTGCCCAAGTAGCTGGAATCCAATCAAAGTTCCTCACCAAATATATGGCATTATGCAGTTTGTCAGAAGGCTCACCTTCTAAATGACCTGTTTGTTAATAAACTAATCAATTGAAATGGAATAAAATGCATTCAGATGTTGTCCTCAGTGGAGAGTCAAGGGTGGTGGTGTCCTTCGTGTATGGAGGGGACAGATGAGTCCCAGAGGATCAACCAACATGTTGGTCCTGAAACTTAAGCAGACAGCCTTTGTCATCAGGCCCTGCAGCTCAGGTATGACTCAGATAGGAGGCAGAATGGCTCCCCAACTGGCATCACCCATGGCATTGATTGGGGAGATGGCTCTGTACTCTGGAACCCAAGGAAACTCACCAACTCTTACTAGCCCAGTGTGAGCCTATAGGGAGAAAGATGGGAATTAAAGCTGGTACAGGCACTGAAATATCAACTCCAGGAGTGCAGAAGCAACCTGGTTCCAAAATGGAGAGAACACAACTTGGACTTCCTAGATGGGAAACATCAAGGCATAGTAATTTGAGGAGCCCATAAGGTATCCCTGAGGTGGCCATGCCAGAGGTGATAAACTTAGAAGTCCTGTGGCTTTTCAACCTGCTTTCCAAGCCTTCAACCGATTGGTTTTAAGTACTGAGTCTCAAAAAAAAAATGCTGAGAGCGAACCAGGCCTTAAGAAATGAGAGTAGGGCTGGGTATCGTAGTGTGCATATATTATTCCAACATTCAGGAAGTGGAATGAGGCAGGAGGATCAAAAGTTAAAATCAAACCATGGCTACTTAGCAAATTCCAGGATAGCCTGGGCTACATGAGGTACTGCGTCTAAAAAAGGGGGGCTGCAGAGGGGTGATCAATTAGATTAATGCACTTCCTGCCAAACCTGGTGATCCCCAAAATCCATGGTAAAAGGAGAGAACCAACTCCTGCAAGTTGTCCTCTAACCATGTGTAGGCACATACATGCACATACACTAAATAAATAAATGTTAAGAGAGGAAAAAAGAAAAGAAAAAGGAAAAGGAATGGAAGTATTCAGTGGCAGGTATATGCTAGTTTAGAGGTGTGGGATGCCCAGGAGGAGAGGCATGCCAGGAAAGAGAGAATTGTGTATCCAAGACTAAAATGGTCAAGCAAGAAAGTCAGCAGGGCTCAGCTCCTTGTCTCAGATATAGTGATGATAACAGCTAACACCCAGCCCTTTAAGTCTATACCAAACTCAGTCTCTGTCTCTTGTTTCTCTGTCTCTCGTGTGTGTGTGTGTGTGTGTGTGTGTGTGTGTGTGTGTGTGTGTGTGTGTGTGTGTGTGTTCATATGGATACATGCATATGGAGGCCAGAAGTTAACCTTGAATTGAATGTTCTTCAAATGCTATCTACCTTGGGTTCTTTATTTGGTTTGAGTTTGGGTTTGGATTTTGGTTTGTTGATGTTATTTGGAGGGAGATTTGTTTGTTAAACGGGGACTTACTGTAGCTTTGACTGCCCTGGAACTTGCAAAGATCCTCCTACCTCTCCTTCCCAAGTGCTGAGATTAAAAGTAGATGCTACCAGGCCCAGCATTAGTTACTTGTTCCGTTGTTTTGAGAAGGGTCTCACTATGTGGCCCTGGCTGACTTGGAACTCACAAAGATCTGCTTACCCCAAGTCCTGGAATGAAAGGCATGTGCCACCATATTCTACTGCTTTTATTTATTTGTTTGTTTGTTCAAATGGCCTGGAACTCAGAATTAGGCAAGGCAGGCTAGCCAGTAAGCTCCAGGTATCCACCACCTATGTCTGCCTCCCCAGTACTGCCCCTGCACCAGCCTTTTTGTTTTATGTGGGTACTAGGGCTCAAACTCAGGTCCTCATGCTTGCACAGCCAGTACTTTATAGACTGAACACTCTCCAGTCCCTGCACCAAACTCTAAAAAACATTCTGGGGGCTCAGTAATCTTATGTTCTATCCCCAGCGCTGCCAAAAGAAAATTACATTACTATTGTCCCTTTTTCAAAAGACTTTCTTTTGAGCCATTATAGGTTCATAGCAAAACTGAGGGAAAATTATAGAAACTGCCCATCAGACTCCTGTTGGTTACAGTCAGTGAACCTATTTTTTTTGCATTAGGTTTGCCCTGGGTATTATACATTCTTTGATGTTTGTATTTTTTAATCTTTTTACATGTATTTCTTTTGTGTGAATATGTGTGAGCATGTGCAGAGGTCAGAGGACAACTTTCAGAAATTGGTTCTTTTCTCTTTGAGTTTTGACAAATTATGTAATGATGTTTATCCACAACTATGCTATCAAATATGTATTTGTCTCTTGAATCTTCTATTATGGAAATTTGCAAAAATCTCAAAGAGTAGAGAATAATATAAATCCAGTACACCTTTCACTTGCTTCCACATTGCAGCCACTGTTGCCTCAACTACACTTATAAGGCTCCCAATGGAGATCAGGCAAGTCTCAGCTTATTTGTTCAAGATTTTAGTTTTAAAACCAGGTGGTGGTGGCACACACCTTTAAACCTCACACTCAGGAGGCAGAGACAGGTGGATCTCTGTGAGTTTGAGGCCAGCCTGGTCGACAGAGCAAGTGCCAGGATGGCCAGGGCTATATAGAGAAACCCAATCTCAAAAGAAAAAAAAAGAAAAAAGATTTTAGTTTTAAACAACTTACTTACATGGTTCACACAACCCTAGAAGTCTGGTCATTATTGTCAATGTACAAAAAAAAAGATAAAGGATACCTAGAGGTTAGGAACCAGATGAGTAGGCTCCCTAAGTTAGCAGCTTACTCCCAGGTGAAGCAGAATCTCACTGAATGTGCTTACTATGATGCTGGAAGTACAGAGACCCTCCTATGCCTCCCAGACAATTGGACAATTGTCTTTTTGTTTGTATGTGTATATGTGTTCATATGTGTTTGTGAGTGTGTGTCTGTATGTGTAGGTATAGATCAGAGGACAAACTTGTGAGAATGGGTTCTGTCCTTCCACCATATGGGTCCTCCCAGGGATCAAACTCAGGTCATCAGGCTTGGTGGCTTTACCCACTGAGCCATACCACTGGCTCTCACCTTGTTTTTTAAGAAACAGTCTCTCATTGACCTGGAACTCACCAAGTAAGCTAGTCTGGCTGGCAGTGAGCCCCAGGGATCCTTCTGTCTTTGCCTCCCCAGCATTGGAATTACAAGCATGTAATTCCAATGTTTTGTAGATTGAACTAGGGTCCTCATGCTTGCAAGCACTTTACCAACTTAATTATCCTCCAGGCCCAATCGTTGTCCATTTGTTTTATAAATATTAACTAAGTGCCTGTGTTGAGCCCTTTCCTGCAAATAAAGCTGCCACATTCTTCATGTCAGACATCCCAGCACTCCCTCTGGCTTTTCAGGGAAAGCAGAAATGACTAATGACAACAAGGAGCAGTCTTCTAACCAGTCTTCTGACCAAATTTTTCTCCCCTGATTCCAGCACACAGCAGGAATTGGTGGCTTTCAGGTGGCCAGGCCCAGGTGAGTTCCACTCAACAGCATGATTTCCACCAAGGACACAATTCTTAAAATTTCCCTCCCTGCTTCTTTCAGCTGACCCATCTCTCCCTGTGGCCAGTTTACCTCATCTTCAGACAGACACATTGCCCCTTTTCATCTGGGAGAGTCTAGATGTCCAGGCTGAGCTGTGCCATGTAGGGAGAGGGGGAGGGGGAAAGAGGGTGGCGAAAAGGGAAGGAACCAGGTGCAGCAGCTAGGTGGCCCAAATGTACAATGAGAACTGGCAACCAAAATGGTTGGATTATATAGTGAAGAGCAGCCCAGCGCCCTGAGCTGGAGAAGTTAAGGGTAGGAGTCAGGGTATGCCAGCCAGGGGGGCCCTATAAGGGGTAGGGACTGAGGGATGCAGGGAGAACCTGGAGGCCAGGTCTGCTTTGTTGTGTTAAATTGGCACCTCAGCCATTTGTCTCAGCTTGAAACCTAATGTATGTGTGTGTGTGTGTGAGTGTGTGTGTGTGTGTGTGTGTGTGTGTCTGTCTGTCTGTCTGTCTGTCTGTCTGTGTCTGTGTTACATGCCCATGTGTGCATATGTTAAGGCCAGAGAGGTATGAGGAACATGAGGTCTCTTCCTCTATCATTCTCTGCATTATTAATGTTCTTTAAGACATTTTCATTTTCAGATTCAGGTCTCTCACTGAATCTGAAGTTTACTGTTTTGGCTAGGCTAGCTGGCCAGCAAACTCCTGGAATCCTTCTCCACCCACAGCAACACTGGGCTTACAAGCACTTGCAGCAATCTGTGGATTTTTACAAGAGTACTGGGGATTGAAATTTATGCCCTCATGACTATATAGAAAGTGCTCTTACTAGCCTCTAGTTTTTGTTTTGAGACAAGGTCTCACTCTACAACCATGCGGCCTCATTCACTATTTTTGAAGCTGAGCTCAATTTGATCTTCCTTGCTTCAGCCTCTCCCTCCATGCTAGAATTACAAGTGTGAGCTCCCATTCCCAGCTGCAAATGTTTGTGATCATTCACACATTAAACCCCTTGGAGCAGTGGTTCTCAGCATTCCTAATGCTGCGACCTTTTTTTTTTTTTTTTTTTTTTTCTGAGACAGTGCTTCTCTGTGTAGTCCTGACTGTCCTGGAACTCACTCTGTAGACCAGGCTGGCCTCAAACTCACAGAGATCTGCCTGTCTCTTCCTCCTAAGTGCTGGGATTAAAGGTGTGCAACCTCTTTTTTTTGTTTGTTTGTTTTGTTTTGTTTTTTTGAGACAGGGTTTCTCTGTGGTGTTTTGGTGCCTGTCCTGGATCTCACTTTGTAGACCAGGCTGGCCTCGAACTCACAGAGATCCGCCTGGCTCTGCTTCCTGAGTGCTATGATTAAAGGCGTGCGCCACCACTGCCGGGCCTGGTGTGCAACCTCTTAATACAATTCCTCATGTCCTAGTAACCCCCAACCAAAAAGTTATTTCATTGCTACTTCGGAACTGTATTTTTGCTACTGTTAGGTAAATATCTGATATACAGGTGGTCTTAGGTGACCCCTATGAAAGGGTCGTTCAGTCCTCATAGGGGTTGCAACCTACAGGTTGAGAACCACTGCCTTAGAGCATGTATAGACCTAACATATATATGTATGCATATATTTATATATATACATACTTGTATGTCATATATATGTACTAATTTGAATTTTATGAAACACACAATATGGGCCTGGAGGTAAGAGTGCTTACTGCTCTTCCAGAGGACCTGGGTTCAGTTCCCAGCACCCCCAGGGCAGCTCACAACATGTAACTCAAATTCCAGGAGATCCAACACCCTCTGACTTCTAAGGGTTCCTGCTCACACATGGTACACATAGACTCATGCAAGCACACACACACACACACATAAAAGTTTTTCAAATTACAGTTTAAAATTATTTTTACAATCATTTCAGAGCTGTGGATGTAGGTCAGTTGAAATGATTGCCTCGCATGAAAAAGGCACTGAATTTGATCCTCAGAACCATATAAATTGGGTTTGGTATTGTGAAGATGTAAGCAGAAGGATTCAAAGTTCAAGGTCATCCTCTCAGCTACATTAGGAGTTTGAGGCCAGCTCTGAGATTCTGTCTCATAAACAAACAAACAAACAAACAAACAAACAAATAAATAAATAAATAAATGGGTCTAGCTGCTTCTTCTTTGGGAAAATACCAAATGGCGGATGATGCTCGTGCAGCAAGAGGGCCCAGAGGACCTGGGGGCCCAGGATTAGGAAGTCACAGCAGCTTCCACAGAGTCCCTGGAAGATATCTACCTGTTCTCCCGGCCCCATTAATTAATCTGAGATTATTGACTTTTTCCTGGGCACATCCCTAAAGGATGAGGTTCTAAAGATCATACCAGTGCAGAAGCAGACTCAGGCTGGCCAGCTGACCAGGTTCAAGGCTTGCATGACTATGGGGACTACAATGGTCATGTTGGTCTTGGTGTTAAGTGTACCAAGGAGGTAGCCACTGCCATCTGAGGGGCCATCATCTTGGCCAAGCTTTCCATTGTCCCTGTGTGGAGAGGCTACAGGGGGAACAAGATTGGCAAGCCCCACACTGTTCCGTGCAAGGTGACAGGCCGATGTGGCTCTGTTTTGGTCTCATCCCAGCCCCAGAGACACTGGCATCGTCTTTGCTCCTGTGCCCAAGAAGCTACTGATGATGGCCAGTATTGGTGACTGCTACACATCAGCCAGGGGCTGCACTGCCACCCTGGGCAATTTTTGCCAAGGCCACTTTTGATGCTATCTCTAAGACCTACAGCTACCTGACCCCCGACCTCTGGAAAGAGACTGTTCACCAAGTCTCCTTATCAGGAATTCACTGACCATCTAGTGAAAACCCACACCAGAGTCTCTGTTTAGAGGTCCAGTTGTGGCTACTACATAAGAGGTTTTTGTTGTTATTGTTTTTTGTTGTTTTGAAACAGTTTCTCTGCACATAATGGCTTTTATACAAGAAAATAAAGTAAATTAAGTCTGTTTAAAAAAATAGTCTAAACATGGCTACCCCAGCAGTGATTCTATAGAACTGCATACATGGCAGTTAGCTTATTGCTTTTATCAGAAAAAAAATCCTCAGATGGTAGTAGCATCGAGTGAGCTAAGAAGTTTGCTCAACTTGTCCATACACATACCTTTTGACAGAGAGACTGGCTTGCATAGAGTTCTGGGTTGGGTTGTTCTCCTTTTTTCCCCCTGAGACAGGGTTTCTTTTTGTGGCCTTGGCTGTTCTAGAACTCACTCTGTAGACCAGGCTGACCTCAAACTCACAGAGATCTGCCTGCCTCTGCCTCCCTTGAGTGCTGGGATTAAAGTTGTACACCATTCCCACCAACTGGGTTCAGTTTTTTTCACAAGAACTTCAGAATTCACTACAATGGAAAAATAATATTATTGATGGAATGAAGCTTTATGTACAAGCTCAGAGACCAGAGGTTTTGCAAGGAGATCAAATGTCTATGAAGAGCGATTTCTGAGTCTGAAACTACCCATTAAATAAATGTAACAATAAATTTAAAAATGTATTTATGGTATCACATTTACTATTTTTAAATTACATGTGTGTGCCTTTGTAGGGGTATGTGCACATGATTGCAGGTGATTTTGAAGTCCAGACAAGAGTTATCAGATCCCCTGTAGCTGAAGTTACATGCTGGGTGTTGGTACTAGAAACCAAACTCAGGTCCTCTGCAAAAGTAGTACATGCTCTTAACCACTGGATCATCTCTCTCTCCAGCTGCCAGATAAATGTACATTTAATACTTTTACTATATTATTATTTTGGTTTTTGAGACAGGGTTTTTCTGTGAATCTGGCTGTCCTGGAACTCGCTCTGTAGATCAGGCTGGCCTTGAACTCACAGAGATCCACCTGCCTCTGCCTCCCGAGTGCTGGGATTAAAGGCGTGCGCCACCATGCTCGGCAAAAGTCTCATTTTTTTTTAAAAGAAAGAAAATAAGTTTATTTTTGTATGCTTCAAAGACAGAAGCAGGTATGGCAGTAACAACCACTTGCATACAACTCACCTTTCTTTTTAAAGATTTATTTTTATTTTATGTGTACAAATGTTTGTCTGCATGTTTGTATGTGCACCATATGCACCCAGTATGAGCAGAGGCCAAAAGAGGGTATCAAATCCTCCGGAACTGTAGTTACAGGTGTTGTGAGCGGCTAAGTGGGTGATGGGAAATTGAACAAGAGTCCTCTGCAAAAGTAGTTAAGTGCTCTTAGCCACCGAGCCATCTCTTCAATCCCCACATCACCTTTAACTCAATATTTGTTTACTGTCTTCTAATATCCTTTCTACACCCTCCCACCACCCACTTTTTTTCCCAGGGGGTAACCCCACAACAATGTACTTATTACGCTGCACGCCAAAAACGCTGACTCAGGAAGTCAGGTCTCACGTGGTAGGGCCAGCTAGTCGCTCCCAGAAACGTCATATCCTGTAGGAACCCAACACACGCCTCCAGAGGTGAAGGCCTCTGTGAGAGGGCGGGGTCCTAGCACGCGGGTGGAGCCTCGGTGGGGCGGAGCCTGTGGGGGCGGGACGAGGCCCGAGCGGGCCGCTCTCTCCCGCATCTGCATCTGCTGGCCCAGCCGCCGCCGCTTGTGCGGAGCTCTGTGGCAGCGGAAGCAGGTGAGAGACTTCGACCGGGAAGGGGAGGATGGGAGGTGACTTATGGTTCCGTCTGCAGTCCGCGATCACCTGCTCCGGCCAGGCCCAGCGTGAGGCCTTGCGGGCGCGAGAGTGACGTGGAGGCTCTCCTGAACCCAAGACTGACCGCGGGATTGTGAGCTCTTCCTAACTTCTCCAACCACCTGACAACCCTCGGACTCCCAGGTGCGGAGGAGACCTGGTCATCACTGTTAGATATCCTAACCCCCAACACTTCGCTGCTGTGGAAAAAGCTTCGGGACAGGATTGCTTCCTCAGCTTTGGAGTGTATTTACCCCAACTCTTTCTATCAGCAAAGGTGTAGTAGGATAGGGGCCAAATCCCTCTTGCAGTGACTCAGGTCCACCAGTCCTACTGGAAGGATGGGGTATGGGTGGATGGCCCTTAGTTTCTCCCTTAACTGATTCACACCACTCTGATGCCTACATCTTTTCCTCTCCACTGGACTTGTTACCCTACTCTGGTTTTCCTGCCTCCCTCTTCATCGATGAGACACAAGGCTGAACCAGAGCCCCCAGGGTAAGTGACCCAAACTGTAAGTCAGCAAAGGCCATATAGATGGAGGTCTGGGGCCAAAAACTGATCAGGATCCAGAGAGCTTAAAGGTACCTGGCAAGCTATAATATAAAACCTGCTGTGTCCACTGCCATCTAGTTGCCCCAGTTCTGGCAAATACTAGGGTGATAACTATCCAGTTGAGAAATGGAAGGAGGCAGATCCCTCCTTTCACCCCAAGTTACTCCACCCTTAGAAATACTCAGGTTCCACTGTAAGTTTAAATTTCTGGTAGGTGTCTCACACTTTTAGCCCAGCATTTGGGAGGCAGAGGTATGTAGATCTCTGAGTTCCAGCCCAGTCTAGATGGTGAATTCCAGGCCAGCTAAGGCTATACAGTGAGGCCCTGGCTCAACAACAACAACAAAAAGACTCTGGTAGGGCTGAATGTGGTAGCCTACACCTTTTAATTCCAGCACTTAGAGAGACAGAGACAGGCAGATCTCTGTGAGTTTAAGGCCAGCCTAGTCTACATAGTGAATTGCAGGCCACTAGGCCATCGAGGCCTACATACAGGGACCCTGGAAGGGGAATATGTACCAGAAGACTCTAAGCAGAGGTTGTCAGATGTAGCAGCAGCTATGAGAGCTCAAGTTCTGAGACTGGGGAGCTCTGACAAGAGAAGGTTGCCCAGTGGATATCTAACCCAGTACTACTGTAACTTCCCTGAGAAGTAGGGATGTGCTTCCCACAAGGACTCCTATCTCATTATTATAGGGCAGGTAGGACAGGATATGTAGCCACAGCAATGGTTTACCCAACTCCATGTCAGCAGCAGGCATCACCCCCTGAAGACTTTGATTCAGTAAGTCACATACTGCCCATGTCACTTTGTCACCACTTTGTAGCTGGCAATTGGCATTCAGATGCCTCTGTTCTATTCTTTAAAGACCTGGATCAAAAAAGAAAAAAAAAATAAATAAAGACCTGGACCGACCCAAGGCAATGTTCCCATCAGCACCCTTTTTTTCTTCATTTTTGGAGACAGGGTTTCTCGTTGTAGTCCTGGGACTCAATTGTAGTCCAGGCTGGCCTCGAACTTACAGAAATCCACCTGCCTCTGCCTCCTGAGTGCTGGGTTTAAAGGTGTACACCACCATACCCATCTCCAATCAGTACTCTTGGTTCTCATCTGACTAGTCTTCTTGTCTCCCCCCAGGAAGCCAGTTTTATTTGATTTTCTTTGTTTGGAAATGGAGTATCAAGTCCTCCAGACTGCCCTGGAACTGGCTATGTAACTGAAGGATGATCTTGGACTCCTGATTCTCTTGCCTCCACTTCCCAAGTGCTGGGATGACAGCAGTGAGCCACAATACCTAGTCCCTCCAGGAAGCAGTTTAGTTCATTCCTATAGTGCTATCACGACATCTTGAAACCAGTGTGGAATGGTCTAGTGGTGACAAGATTAAAGATTGCTCTCCTAAAACCCTCAGTGCTAGAACATTTCTATAAGGTCACCATAGTAGGCCAGAGAATTGGCAGACTGAGTGGGGTTTCCTGTATGTAGGTAACCTCTCTTGAGGGCTGAGAATCTTGAGGAAGCTTGTGCTGGAGGAGGAGATGGCTGAATGACATTCAAGGACCAGCACTATCCACAAACTAGAAGTAAAAGGTTCTCTGAGAGCCCCATGCTCCTGAGCTTGCAGTTTTTCCTCTTCATTAGCCATTTTCTTTGCCCCTTCTCTTTTCAGGAAAAGACCTGCTATCAAGGAAGACCACACAGGACCAGGACCTTCTCATGGATACTTTTCAGGACATTCCAACAGCACAAGCAAGGGTATTCCTCTAAGACACAAGGGGCCTGTGAACACTATCCTTTGAAGTGACATGGTGGTCAAGAGAAGCAGAAGTAACTCCCAGCAGTTGCCTGGCCTGGGAGGACAGGGTGGTTGTACAGGTCTCCTAGGTATGCTCGGAGCTGCCCTACTGGTCATCAGCCTGCCATGGGGGGGCCAAGTGATGGCCAGTGCCAACCTCAGTACTGCTCTGGGCCACACTATGCCACTAACAGGTGGTCACTATCTGAGCATTGGAGATGGCTCAGTGACAGAGTTTGAGTTCCCTGAAAAGAGTGAGGGTATTATTGTGATCTCTAGCCAGTACTCAGGACAGGCCAATGGGACAGGCCCTAGCCCCACACTGAGGGTTATATCCCTGGACACAGAGGTACTGATCATCAAGAATGTGAGTGCCATAACCTGGGGCAGTGGGGGTGGCTTTGTGGTGAGCATCCACTCAGGTCTGGCTGGGCTGGCTCCACTCCACCTCCAGCTCATGGACCTCCATGAGGCCCCACCCTTGTTGATTGAAGAACGAAGGGATTTCTGCATCAAAGTGTCACCTGCTGAAGACATCCCTTCTACCCTCAATCCCAACTTGAGCCACTTCTCAGAGAACCCAATCCTCTACCTGCTCCTGCCTCTTATCTTTGTCAATAAGTGTTCGTTTGGGTGCAAAGTGGAACTTGAAGTTTTGAAGGAGCTCCTACAGAGCCCCCAACCCATGCTGTTAGGCCTCTTGGGCCAATTTCTGGTCATGCCCTTCTATGCTTTCCTGATGGCCAAAGTATTCATGCTACCCAAGGCCTTGGCTCTGGGCCTCATCATTACCTGCTCATCACCTGGCGGTGGGGGGAGCTACCTCTTCAGTCTCCTCCTTGGAGGAGATGTCACCCTGGCCATCTCTATGACTTTCATCTCAACAGTAGCTGCCACAGGTTTCTTGCCACTCTCATCAGCCATCTACAGCCACTTTCTCAGCATCCATGAAACACTCCACGTGCCCATCTCCAAGATACTGGGGACCTTGCTGTTCATTGCCATCCCCATAGCAGCAGGTGTGGTGATCAAGTCTAAGCTTCCCAAGTTCTCAGAGCTGCTGCTACAGGTCATCAAGCCCTTCAGCTTTGTACTTCTCCTTGGTGGCCTATTCCTAGCCTACCACATGGGGGTCTTCATCTTAGTGGGAGTCAGGTTACCCATCATATTGGTGGGCTTCACAGTGCCCCTGGTTGGCCTCTTGGTGGGCTATAGCCTGGCCATGTGCCTAAAGCTGCCAGTGGCCCAGCGGCGGACAGTCAGCATTGAGGTAGGGGTGCAAAACAGCCTGCTAGCCTTAGCCATGCTGCAGCTGTCTCTGCGCCGCCTTCAAGCAGACTATGCCTCTCAGGCCCCCTTCATTGTGGCACTGAGTGGTACCTCTGAGATGCTGGCTTTGGTTATTGGCCAGTTCATCTACAGCAGCTTGTTTCCTGTTCCCTGAGGACCCTGGATCAAGTTTTATAACCCCAGCCCCCATACTCCATCCACTGTCCCCACAGTTCTTATGTACCAAAGGCCTTTAGTTCTCATGCACTATGCACTCAAACAAATCCAGGCTTATTTTTTTTTTTTACTCTTTTTTCCCCCAGCTTTCAGTGCCAAAGAGGCCATGCTGAGTTAGAAATATATTTCAATAAAAGACAAAAGCAAGCTTGGGTCCCTTCCAGTGTTTGTCCCTTGGAGCCTATGAATGGGGATAGGTAGAGTGTGTCTGGACTGGTATGGGCCAGGATGGTGAACAGGCTTGGTGACCCTGCACAGAACCCACTCGGTTCTCACTCCTTCTGTTTTGAACATGGTAGACAAGTGTTGTACCTTTGAGCTGTATCCCCATATCTGCAAAGGCTTTTCTCTATCAGCCCTCCCCAACAGGGCAGGCCTCTGTTCTATAATGAGTGAGGAGATAAGAGGCCTTCGGAGCCTCAGTCAGGATATTTTTGCAGCCAGATTAGAAAGAAGCAGAAAGCCATCGATCGGGCTATGATAGCAGGTAGGAGTAGACCATTTCTGTATCTGAGAGACACCACCGCGTGTTTGCACTAACTGGGTCCACCAACAGCATGAAGCTGACATCCTGGTCCTTCATTTTAAGCTACAGCTCCCAAGTGAAGCAAGCCTGGCCCCACAGGTTCCTCGCTTCGATCCCAGTGGGCGAGATGCCCCCACTACCTTGCACCATAGCCGCTGGAGGTTTACTGTAGGCTGGGGGTGGCGGACTCTACCCCAAGCTCGGGCAGGCGCGAAGGCCCGGAGGCGGGACTGAGGGACTGCGGGAGCCACGCGGCAGGCGTGCCCCTCTCACTGCTTCCGGCGGCGGCGGGCGGTTCCGGCGCGCGCCCAGGGCGGCGGCGCGCGGCAGGGGATCATTGGGGTTTGCATTGGCCCTAGTGGACGCGGCTGTGGACACCATGCAGCTGACGGTGAAGGCGCTCCAGGGCCGGGAGTGCAGCCTACAGGTAAGGTCACCCTATATGCTGCTGCACTCACACACTCCTGCCGCTGGGGGCCAATGGCGGGCGGGGTAAGCCGGGATAGCTGACCTCAAGAGAGGGCACGAGGGCTTCCTCGCCCAGGGAATTCGGGCTAAGCCCTTGCCTCTCCACCTCGGCCGGATCAGGTGCCGGAGGACGAGCTAGTGTCTACACTGAAGCACCTTGTCTCGGATAAGCTGAATGTCCCTGTGCGCCAGCAACGTCTGCTGTTCAAGGGCAAGGCCCTAGCAGGTAACCAGGGAAAGGAGCCGCCTAGGGAGCCCCACAGGAAGTTGGAAGTTGGGGGACGGGATGTACAGGCCAGCGTAATGGATTAGGGCACTGGCTGCCACTGGGCCTCGGAAAAGTAGCTGATCCACCACCACCCCCACCACCCCATAGCCAGATGCTGCAGTGTTTCACTCTGGCTGGCTGTGGCAGGATTGCTCTCCGGCCACCCCCACAGCAGTGAAGAAGGAACCCCACCAATATCTCTTTGGCAGATGAGAAACGACTGTCAGATTACAACATTGGGCCCAATTCTAAGCTCAACCTAGTCGTTAAACCTTTGGAGAAGGTGCTACTGGAAGAAGGGTCTACCCACAGACTGGTCGACTCACCTCCCCCACCCCTTTGGCAGCTGATCTCCAAAGTCCTGGCCCGTCACTTCAGTGTAGCAGATGCCAGCAGGGTCCTGGAACAACTACAGAAGGTGAGAAGAGTAATGCTGGACCTCCAGTCTTAATGCTTATAGCCCCAGCCCTATTACAGCATACCCCTTCCCGATAGTACCCCCTAAACCCACCTGGTCTTCTCTCCTTAGGATTATGACAGGTCCCTGAGCCGCTTAACACTGGATGACATCGAACGTTTGGCCAGCCGCTTTCTACACCCTGAAGTAACTGAAGCTATGGAAAAGGGGTTCTCCAAATAGCATTCTGGGATTGGGGGGTTGGGAAGAAATCCCAGGTCAGGCCGCAGCTGCATGTTGCATTAAATGTGTTCTCATGTCGCAGTTTGGCTCATAGTGATAATAATAGCTGGTATGTACCCAGCTCTTGCTAGGTGCTAGGCACTACTGAAAGTACTTGGCCTGAGTTCTCTTCTGCCTCCCACAAGACAGTTGAGACTGCACTGTAGAGACACCTAGCAATGGCTTGGGACAGCCAGAGTCCAAGTCTAGCCAGCCGTAGAAGTGCCTCTGTAGGAGAAAGAGTGTGCTGTTTTGAGGGATGGGCCTTACCATTCCCATTTAGCCCACTCAGCATACACCCTCAAATGACTCCCTCAGGAAGCCGCTAGTCCCTGTCACCTGCCCTCTAGTGTGTCTGGCATAGCCCTTGGCAAATCTCCATAGGAAGCCAAGTGGTAGCCATCCAGGGCCCCTCTGCTGCTGCAGCCAGTGTGCTCTTGATAAATGACAAGGTTAGGGGCTAGAGGATCAGAAAGATACCCCAGCTCCGTTGTATGACTTGAGTCAAGTTTCTGTGCCACTTTGGTCCCCATCCATTGAGTCTGTTCAATGATGGCCTCTCCTCTGGTCTGAATAAGTTTCCTTCCCCCTTTTCCAGCTCAAGGTGGGAGTTTCTGCTATCATCACCTACAGTTCCACCTTGTGTTCAGTTAGCAAAACTGAAGCCAAAAGTGAAGTGGTAGCCAAGCAAGTATCCTGGGCCTTTATGACATAGCTCTAATCGGGGGCACCCTATCTGCTTGGCTCCTCTGGAAGTGGGTCTCATCCATGAGGGACAGCAGGTGACTCAACAAAGCAGTGTCACAACTAGGACTCTGCCTTGGTCTCACCCAGCACTCACCCACGGATGCTTCCTTTGCCACCTGTGTACAGGGGCTTTTACTTTGCACACCTTCGTTGCTTAAGAAGAAACTCAGGGTGCTAAGGAGGAGATAGAAATGTAAGATGAAAACAGTGATTCTTCTTTTCACTATACCTATGCCTGGGTGCTAAAGGTCATGTAAGTACTAGCTCCTTTGAGGAGGACCCCCTGGGAGCAGTTGAGGCTGGAAGATAGTCACCTGCAGGACACTACTCCTGCCCCTCCACTCTTGCCAAGGAAGCCACTCTGAATGTTGTCAGGGCTACACTTGCCTTTCTTGTCCAAGGGCCATCTTCATGGGCCTTAGGCCTTGTGGGACAAATCTTGAATCCCCATAATGGAATGATAAACTGAAGTGAGGCCTGAGGGGATGAGCAGCTGATAGACCCTGGTCCTCTCTGAGACCTGGGGTACCACATCAGGGACCTGCTTGTGAGCACATATATGGACTGGCAGCTCAGATAATAAGCTTACCAATGTCCTTGTTCACTTTGAGTCAGGGAATGTATTTGGAAAATTATATAACACTAAAGGTGCATGTGAGACTTTTCACCAAAATGAACTCTGTTAATAAGTTAGGCTGCTTTGGGTTTCCAATAATTGGTTTAACAACACAGGAAACCTACTGGATTACAAAACTGAAAAATCCCAGGAGTACTGGCAGTGGATGAACAATTTCACCAAACATGCAGCTTTTTTCCTGCTTCCCTCTGAATTCTCCAGGATCTGCTTCATCCTTACTACTAATTCCAAGGATCAAAGGGTGGCTGCCTGCAGCTTCATCAAAACCCTTCATTTGCTGCCAGCAAGGAGCACTTTCTCTCTGTACCATAGCTTCTATCTCAGATGCCCCAGCAAATAAATGCTGTCTCTTATTGGTCAGAACTGAATCCTGTGTAATCACTTGGGCTGGGCATATGGGAAAAAGGAGTTGTTGATTATCTGTTAAAGCAGTCTTGGTCTGCTTTCCTGGGCACATGTGAGCTGTACCAGGGAGGAAAAGTAAATGGATGTCCTGGTGGATGCAAATGGCCACTGTCCACTACAGGAAACATTTGAACCAGAAAGAGTGTGACTCCCTTGGATATAGTAAAGGAGAAAGGGATGAGGACTCAGACAAGGAGTGTTTTCTGAGACTTGCATCCAAAGACATTTGAAGTTTCTAAAGGCAGAAACAAACCATGGACATGTTCCTCATTTCAGAGTGCCAGAAGCCTGCGAGATGCTCGCTTTGGCCAGAGATGAGACAGTGGTGTTTAGATGAGTTTATGTAGTGGGACAATTGGCAGGTTTTGCTAAAAACTAAACAGGGTTCCTCAGGAATCAGGCTATGGCTGAAACAGAAAACTCAAGTGTAGGAAGGAGTCCTGAAAGGGGTCCAACTGATACCTGATTGCCTTGGGAGGCTGAGGTGGCTGTATGTGGGGGATCAGGGACAGGGGAGATAAGATTGGATATGGAAATGAGTGAAGAGCCCTCAAAATATGAATTGGGGACCCTGTAATGGAAAAGCTGATCCATAAAAGCAAGAAGAGAACTCCTTTTGATAGTTAGCTATTGGATTGTTATGAACCTTTTCTATGCAGAGCACTTTTCTTATTTCATTCTCATCTGACTGCCAAATGTAGGAAGTGAATGAGCAACAACTTGAACCCAGGCTTAGCTTTATCTTTAAGCTCATGTAAACATATTGCTATACCCAGGAATTGTCTGTAGAGAAGGAGTTCTAGATACTGGAAGGATGATTGAGTTGGCTACCCAGAGAAAGGGACTAAAAAAGAAAAAAGTCTGAGCCTCAAGGAGCCAGCTTCACTAACCAGAGAGTTTAGAAGGGAGCCAGAGACAAAGGCATGGGCAGGAAGTGGTGCCAAGCGCAAGTCAAGTCAAGGCCAGGCCTCCAGAAGAGAGAAACCATCAGTGCTGCCACTACAGGGACAAGGTGGTGCCTCTCTTTGGAGTTCTTAATATGTAAGTTATTGCCACTGTATGATAGGCCAAAGAGTCCTCAGGAACCTCTCATTCCACAAGTTGTGTGTACAAAGGAATGGGGACAAATAGGTAGTGTTTGTTAGGTTTCAAGCTGGGACAAATGGTTGAGATGCCTATTGAACATAACAAAGCAGACCTGGCCTCCAGGTTCTCTCCCCATTCCTCAGTCCCTACCTTTTACCAGGCCCTCCTGGCTGGCATACCCCAACTCCTACCCTGAACTCTCCAGCCCAGAGGGCTGGGCTGCTCTTCTCTGTATAATCCAACCATTTTGGTTACCTACCCTCTTTGTACCTTTGGGCCTCCTAGCTACTGCACCTGGTTCTCCTCACTCCCCTGTACCTCCCCCTCCACC